TGGGCTCGCTCTTTTAACTTCTAATTTTCTAAGTTCCTCAAGGTCAAGTTTACGTTAAAAGCCAACATAGACACAAATAGTAGTGTTTTAATGACTATTAAAATCAGGGCCTCCTATTACATAAGGGCTTACCTAGTCAGCGGCAAGCATCTGCATGTGGGAACTTGTGATAGCCTAGAGAGGGCTCAGAGGCTGGCATTCAAAACCCTGTGGTCCTTGTTCTGTTTTGAGATGTCTCAAACTTCCTCAGTGACCTCACGGAGGCATGGACTTTCCAGGGTACCATTCATCCCATTCTCTAGAGGAAGAAACTGAGGCTCAGAGAGAACCACTGGGAAATAAGTGAGCCCAGGAGCTTACTTCAGTCAGAAAGCAAGGGCTGTGGTCTGGGGTCTAACATCCATCTCAGCTTTGTATAGTTGGGGAACCATTAACTTGGGGGAGGAGTGGAACAGGAAGGATTTGCCTGCTCTTTGGCTGGGACCAATGGTTAGAAAGGGAGATGGGAGGCCAGAGGGTAAAAGGCCACCATACAATGTGGGTTTGTGACCCCTGGGAAGATTAGACTTTAGGGAGGGCTGGCTGTGGCACCTTTCCTTGGCAGGTGACATTTGAGGATGGGTGTGAGATTATGCAGCTGTGTTCCAGGTGGTCCAGGGCACCCTAAGTGCTTGCCTTTTATCTCCAGTAATTCTCTCTTAATGAGGATTTAGCATAACTGACAGTGGTGTCACCTGGGAGATAAACCGGCAGCTTTTCCAGCTGAGCTGGGGGGGAAAAGGGGGGGCTCCAATCAAATCCCCAGCAGAGATATCCAATCATTAGCACCTCCCTAATCCAGAGGTGGCTTAACCCAGCCTGCCTCACTCAGGAGGGTAGGGAATCGGGAAACCAAAGCTGTCAGTGATGGGGGATGGAGCAGGTGGTTCACCCTGGGAAAGGTGAAGGAGGCAGAAACAAACAGAAAAGGGCTGGACGTGCACATGCACACAGGAGGCCAAAGGAACAACTTGGCAGAACAGCTACACTCACCCCCACCCGCCTACCACCAGCCCCCAGACACATTCACTCGTCCTGAATTTAAGGGTTGTCCAACTGTACTGAGATTAATATGGGGCCTTGCTCCTGTGCCCTAACTTCTAATAAGGCTGCTACACAAGTAAGGTCCAGAGTTCACTTACCAGCTGCAGAAGCCTAACAGAGGTATCCAGTCTCCCTGAACCTCAGTGGTCTCCTCTGGACAATGGGACCAATGATAACCCAGCTCCCCGTATGACCTAGCCAGGTGCTGGCCAGCACCAACTCCAAGTCACCAGGACACGAGTTAATAAACTGCTAGTCAGGAAACATTTGAAGAGTACATGGGAGAGAAACTCGGGCATTCATGTTTACATAGAAGCTCTGTACATATACCACACACACACACACAGCATTGCCACATAGAGCACTGGACAGGTGGCTCAACAGGTGACAGGTCTGGCTTCGAAAGCAGGAGCACCTGGATTTGAGTCCTAGCACCTGGGTAACAAGCTAGACACAGCTGCATGTTCCTGCACAGGAGAGAGGATCCTGAGGGCCCTCTGGCTGGCTTGTCTATCTCAAACACTGAGCTGCAAGTTGTCTTAAGGCAGCAGGACAGTGAGCAACAGAGGAAGTCACCAAGGCTCTGCTTTGGCCTCTGCAAGGGTTTGTAAGGGCGTGTACACCTGTACACTCATGTACATGCTACACATACACGCATACATATACCACACACATCATACATACACATACCATACACACACACCACATACCATAAACACACCATAACACACATACCATAACATACTACACCACACACACTATACACCATAACACATCATAAGCATGTACACACAACACACACTATTACACACCACACACACCACACACACACACACACATAAAGTTTTTTTATTTTAAATTTAATTTTAAAATAAAAATAGTGCTAGTTGGTAACATGCATGCCTTTAATCCCAGTGACTGGGAGGCAGAGGCAGATGAATCTCTGAGTTCGGGGCCAGCCTGGTCTATAGATTGAGTTCCAGGACAGCCAGGACTACACAAAGAAACTCTGTCCCAAAAGATAAAATAAAATAAAAATAAAAATGGAATTCACACATTTGTAGCAATTCCACTTCTGAGCACAAGCCTGAGAGAGCAGGACCCGGGGAACTGAGCCTCTCACACCCGCACGCTCTGTGGTATCTCATCGTCAGATGGACATGTGCACTCTGTGTCGGTCAAATGCGTTGAAGGTAGCCTCAGTGGCACCAAAATGTGTCAGTGTCACAGTCAGAAAGAATGCTCCACTCGCCCTTGGATTAATTTGACCAAGATCAAGCCCAAGTTTGAACTTTCCACTTTTCTCCATTCTGTGTCTTCCGTGTGTTGTATCTGATGTGCCCCTGTTGCCTGTGTCGTGTGCGTGTGTGTGTTTGTGTGTGTGTGTGTAGGGCTTTGCTCTGTGCTTATTGAATCGCAGGAAACATCACACAGGGAAGGAGTGAGGGGCACTTTAAAGAAATCCTTAGCGGAGATTTACAAAAGATTAATTCATTCACTGACCGTGACTGATTCAGAGCAGTAAACCACAAACAAACATGATTAACCTGCGTCCACGTTGCTGACCACGTTCATGGTAGATATTTGCTTTATAAGTTTGCTTTCAGCCCACTGGCTGCTTTCACCATGTGATTAGCAGTGCATCACTCTGGGACGGGGAATGGAAATACACATAAGATTACATCTATGCATTAGTTTGGCCTATAGACGATGATTATATGGGCAATCCTGGGCATAGTAAGGTTGGGTGTTACATTTATCTCTTAAAGGCAGGCTAAACAAGCAGGGTGAGTACACTACATCATAGGGTAGTAGGCTAAGTCTTTAGGTGGGGAGTCCAAGACAAGGTCTCTCTGTGTAGCCCTGGCTATCCTGGAATTCCTGCTGTAAAACAGGCTGGCCTCGAACTCAGAGATCCACCTGCCTCTGCCTCCCAAGTGCTGGGACTACAGGTGTGCACCACCACCACCCTAGGCAGGCTGTCTTAAGCGATCTTATAGTATATTATTGGCTGTAAGGTCCGGCAGAAGTCTCAGGCTCACAGCTGGGTATGGTAGTGCACACCTTTAATCCCAGCACTTGGGAGGCAGAGGCAGGTGGATCTCTTTGAGTTTGAAGCCAGCCTGATCTATATAGTGAGTTACAGGACAGCCGGGGCTACACAGACAGACTGTCTCAAAAAAAAAGTTCACAGAAAGTAGGATGGGGCCCTTCTGGGGGACAGAGGTTGACTGTCATCAATGATGACAGACCTTCAGTTTTGCCCGCGAGGAAAGTTCTCAAGATGAGCAGTTGCTAAGGTCTTCATGCAAACTGTCCCCCACAGGCTCATGTCTCTGAACACTTTCCCCCAGGTGGTGGCGCTGTTGCAGGAGGTTATACTGCCTTTAGGACTGGAGAAGTGGGTCACTGGTGATGGGCTTTGAGGTTTTATAGACTCACCCCACTTCCTGCTAGTTCTGGGCTTCCTGTTCTGCCAAGATACAAGGTGAAGTCCAGCTGTGCACTTCCCCAGCTGTGGCCCCATGTCTTCCTTCCATGATGAATCATAGTCCCTCAAACCACAAACCCAAACAAACCCTCCTTCCCTGAGGCTGCCTCTTAGATGTTTGGTCACTGTGATGAGAAATGCCACAGACACAGGCTATTCAACAGCGCCTCACACCAGGTGACACTGATAGGCGCTCTCTGACACGGTAAGAAGGCAAAAGGAATGCTCTGTATATGTTACCACAATTTAAAAAGTACCTTAAGTGGGGCTGGAGAGCTGGCACTCTGGTTAGGAGCACTTGTTCAGGACCTGGGTTTTGTTCGAAGGACCTATGTCAGGATCACAAACACCCGTCGCTCCAGATCCAGGCGATCTGATGCCCTCTTGTGGCCTCAGTGCACTTATCAAATACACAGATATAAAGAGCATGTACACATAAATAAAAAAAAAATTAAAGACTTTTAAAGAAAAATGAATAAAGTATCCCAAAAGACTCTGGAATTCACCTTTACTGAAATCTGCCTGGACTCAAAGAAGATGCCAGCTTGCATGATGGAGTATGCATGCCAGCCACTCTGGAAGAATATTCAGGGGCTTCCTGGATTGTTCAACTCCCTCCCAAGTCCCTGGCCTGGAAGAGCTGGCTTCAGTTGGTATAATAGCTAGCTGAAGCCCATGAAGCTGGGGGGTGGGCAAGCAATCCCCCAGGATGGATCCCGACTCCCTCGTATGACCCCACAGGGGCAGCAAGGGTCTGAAAGAGAAAAGACATTACAAGCATGTTACAAGGATGGCCCGTGTTCAGAAGCCCTTGTCTGAGGTCATGCTGGGTGTGTGTGGAAGTGGAATCTTCTGAGGCCACAGCTATGCCTGGCCTGAATCTGATGTTTCCAACATATTTGTCTGGGCAGTCAGGTGAGTGGGTGTGTGCGCATGCGTGTGCATGTCTGCATGCGTGCCACAAGGCTAAGAGACAACCTCTGTGCTACAGGGAGACACACAGACCTCTGCTCAGTAGAAGGCTAGCTAACGTGTCAGTCTTTCCATCTGTGTAATAGCCTACCACACAACACCTGTTTTCATGCGTCAACTTGATCGGACCACGGGGTACCCAGGTATGTGGTCAAATGTTATTTGAGGTATTTTTCTGGAAGAGAGAAACGCACTAAGGTTCCAGGCGAGTGCGTCCTTTGGAGGCTACCTTTAACCCAATGCCCTCTGTGACAGTTCTAACGCCACAAGTTTGCTGGATGCCTGCCGCCGACCTGAGAGGTGTCATGAGGCTGTTCCCTCCACAGGGACACACAGGAGGTGAGGTGTAAGGCTTGGCTAAGAAAGGGGCTTCGATAGAGGAGAAAGCTATCTGCAGCTACGAGGTGGCAGAGGAGGGCTGCACGTGGGTCTGTACAGTCACTCGGTGCTTAACTGCGAGTGCAGATGATCCCCGTTAAGCCACAGTTACTGGTTTGTCCTCCAAAGAAATCTCATCAACGCCGGGTGTTTAATACCATTGAGCACACAGGATAATGAGTTTCGGTGGTGGTGGTGATGGTGGTGCTCCCAGATGGAAATGCAGTGCTCCGATGGACTGAGGCCCAGCAGGATGCTGGGAGGAGAGGCATCATGTTAGCTCCCCTTGGTACTGGGCTCATCAATTGATTCCGTGATTAATGGACCCTGCCCTATTAGAGCCATTGTGAGCCGTTCCTGCAATTTCAGATAGCTTAAGTGTCCTCGCTGATACCATGGAACCTATTTTTCTTTTCTCATCTCATCTACTACAAGGGTTATTTCTCAGCCTCAAATTGATGTCACAAGCATAGAAACATCCAGAGTTAGAGAGAGCCCTGGGGACTGATTTCTCCGAGAACGAATACATCTTTCTACCCCAGCAGTACCCTGAGGAAGGGATGGAGGCATGGGTTCAAATCCCTGTTCTTGCTTTTTGAAACTGTGTGACCCTAGGCAAGGCACCCAACCTCTCTGTGTCTAGGTTTCCCTGTGTACAGGGCTGGAATGGCACACCCACCCAAGCCGTTACGTACGTCAGTCCGAATTCCTGAAGGAGAGAGCTCGGCCCCTGCTCATCATTTTCTGCGTGTGAAGAGCTTGCTACTGTTAATTGGCAATTTAGACCACCGGGTTTTTAATCTAAGTTCAGTTCGCACCACTTCAAATGCGTTTCTTTAAATAATTAACTCCTTTTGATACTTTAATCTTCAAAAGCCCTCAGTGCCCGCAGACTTAGCAAGGTATGAAAGCAATTACATTCTCCCCGGAGCCAATGGCGGCTGCTGGTTGGGGGTGAGCAGCCTGGGGGTCAGAATCACGGAGAGCTGTGCTGACTAGTTTTATGTCAGCTTGACACAAGCTAGAGTCATTTTGAAAGAGAGAACCTCAGTGGAGAAGATGCCCCCACAAGACTGGCTAGTGGGTAAGACTGGTGCACTTTCTTGGTTAATGGTTAATCTGGGAGAGCCCCCGCTTACAGTGTCACCTCTGGGCTGGTGGTCCTGGATGGTATAAGAAAGCAGTTGGACCGTGCCAGTGTTCAGCCCTGTCCTATGGCTTCTGCTTCAGTTCCCCACTCTCTGACTTCCCTGGATAATGGACTTTAAGCTAACTATAAGATGTGATAAGTCATTTCCCGCTTCTGTTGCTTTTGTTTGTGATGCTTCATCACAGTGATAGAAAGCAAACTCAAATGGGTGCCAGGCAGCCTCTGGCACAGGCATTCCAAAGGACAGAGACAGGTTTTGGGGTCCAGAGCTGAGCAGTAGCTGTGGACTTCCTGTTTCTATTGTCTCTTGGGCACATCAGAGCCACCGTAGTCAGCACTCTGGCTTTCTGGAGCCAGGTGTGTGGTGGGCTGGGGCTCGCTCTGGGCCAGAGCATCCGGGGTCTTGGCTCAGGTCAGCTTGCTCTGCTTTGTCATCCAGACTTTTGTCTTCCTCACTTTCGTGCAGGGCCACCAGAAACGATGCCACTCAAGGACACACTGCATGCCATAACACTTGGTGGCCATAAGAACGTAAGCGTTTTTCAAAGGTGACAGAGAACAGCTTAATAAGCCAGGGAGATCGGGGGTCTTCCAGAAGATCGGGGGTCTTCCAGAAGATCGGGGGTCTTCTGAAAGATCGGGGTCTTCTAGTCCCAAAGGCCCAGAGCATGTTGGTCTTCAAACCTTCATTTTGTCTACAGAGTAGGATCTTACTATGTAAACAAATGGCCTTGAATATGTTATATAGACCAGGATGTCCTTGAACTCACAGAGATTCACCTGTCTTTGCTCTCAAGTGCTGGGATCGAAGGCATATACCACCACACAGGGCCTGATCTCTGTACTTTGCAAAGACTCTATACAAAAGGGTCTTTGGGGCTGACCAGAGCACACTACTGAAGTGACCTTAGAAAACCTGCCAGGGTGTCCAGAAGGCCAGACAGGGCTGCACACCCCATCATCTTCCCAGACACCAGGAATAAGCAGGTCAGGAATCGGAAGCCCGTGGGCACTTGCCAGCAAGCTGTCATCTGTACCTTGGAAAGGGAGTTCACTTTGCAAATCAGCAAACATATTTGCAAATTCTTCTGCCTTGAAAGGATGAGGCGGCACAGCGGATCTTTCTAGCTACTAGCTCAGGATGCCTGTATTCAGACTCACACTGACCCCAGGGCCTTTGCAACTGTTCTGGCTTAGATATGAAGCATCCTACCCCCACCCACAAAGACTCAAATGGCAGAGCTTGGTCCTCCGCTGGTGGATCAATCACTGACAGGGTCAGACCTAATCAATGTTTCACAATTTGATGGTGTGACAGAAGTCTCAGAAGATAGGGCCTGGTTGGAAGCGCTAGGATGGGGAGTGGGTGTGTGTGGGTGTGTATGGGTGTGTGAGTGTGAGTGGGAAGATGAGTGTGGGTGAGTGTGGGTGGGTAAGTGGGTACGTGTGTGTATGTGGGTGTGTGTGGGAGGATGGTTCTGTGTGTATATGTGTGGGTGTGTGTGTGGGGGGGTGTGGGTGTGTGTGGGTGTGAGTGGAAGGATGGGTGTGAATGGGTAAGTGGATGTGGAAAGATGGGTGTGGGTGGGTGAGTGGGTGTGTGTGGGTGTGAGTGGGAGGATGGGTGTTGGTGGGTAAGTGGATGTGGAAGGATGGGTGTGGGTGGGTGAGTGGTGAGTGGATGGTGATTGTGGATGAGTGGGTGGGTGGAGGGTGGTGGTGGGGTGGGAGTGTGTGTGGGTGAGTATGGGTAGGAGGGTGGGTGAGTGGGTGGGTGGATAGGAGGGTAGGTAGGTGGGGCATCTCTTTGAAAGCTGTGTCTAGCCCTCATCTCTCTTCCCTTCCAGCCTCCCTTCTCTTCCTTTCCATCACACTTGCCCTCACAATGTTCCTCTGTCTCTCCCGCAGACTGAAAATCAATCCTCCCTCCTTTAGAAAGTTCTCTTTGCCGGGCGGTGGTGGCAAACGCCTTTAATCCCAGAGAAACCCTGTCTCAGAAAAACCTAAAAACAAAAACAAAAACACTAGAAAGTTCTCTTGGGAATTTGTCACAGTGGAAGGGAGCCAAGTGACTCAGTGACAACGTTCTCGAGGCTGTGGTTCTTGTCTATGGGAAGACAACATGCACTTTCTCTCTCTTGTCTGTTTTAGTCGGGGGTTTCTATCGCTGTGATTGAAACACGTTAGCCAAAAGCAGCCTGGGAAGGAAAGGGTTAATTTTACTCACATCTTCATATGACAGGGAAGGAAAGGGTTAATTTCACTCACATCTTCATATGACAGTTCATTGTTGGCGGACATCAGGACTGGAACTCACACGGGGCAGAAACCTGGAGCAGGAGCTGATGCAGAGGCCATGGAGAGATGCTGCTTACTGGCTTGCTTCCCCTGGCTTGCTCAATTTGCTTTCTTATAGAACCCAGGACTATCAGCCCAGGGATGGCACCATCTACCATGGGCTGGACCCTCCCCCATCAATCACTAAATAAGAAAACACCCAACAGGCAGTGGCAGAGGCACAGGCCTTTAGTTCCAGCACTTGGGAGGCAGAGGCAGGCATATCTTTGAGTTCAAGGCCAGGCTGGTCTAGAGGGTGCGTTTCAGGCCCCACAGGCTACACAGATAAACCCAGTCTGGAGAGAGAGAGAGAGAGCGCCTACAGGCTTACCTACGACCCAATTTTAAGGAGACATTTTCTCAACTGAGGTTCCTTTCTCTCAGATGACTTTAGCTGAGTCAAGCTGCCACGTTGTCTCTCAGTCTCCTGGGGAAACTGAGTCTGTGATGGCGATCGTGACACAAGCTCTCTAATATTTATCACAGAATGGATTTAAACATTTGTTCACCAAATTACTACATATTTATTATTCTGTGAGTTAAGTTTGCCTTTAGATTTAAAATTTCTATATATACACATACATTTTTTTTCAACTCTATAAAGAGAATTGTTTTGAACTTAATGCCTGGGTCCCCTCCCATCAAGTACAGAGGTCATCACACTAAACTTCCAGGGCAATGGGGTTAGCAGGGGGTGAGGCCATATGGTTGATTAGTACCTATAGGAAAAGGGACCTAGTTCTCCCAGGCTCTCTCCGCCACACAAGGGCTGATGGCCACAGTCTAAAGAGAGCACTTTCCAGAACCCAGCAATATCAGGGCCTTAACCTTGGAGGTCCAGAGTGATAAGTAAGTCAGGCTGTTTCCGTGTTAGTCAGTCTATGATATTTGTTCTGTCAAAGCAAACTAAGATAATCAACACTTGTTACAGTCGCCTGGGGAGTTATCTGCAGAAAGACTAACTCAGTTACGTATTCAGGCTGTATTTTTGAAAGGAGTTTTGAAAGGAGAAACATTTCAGTTTGTGCACAGACATATCTTTTGGAGCCAAACAAGATTCTATTGTAGAAATCCAACACTAGCTTTTATTTTGAGCCGGTGAGTCTCACCTTTCGCCTCTTCACACGTTTTTACCTTGTCTGATATCAAGACCATATTCAGGGTACCCTGACCTTGACTCAAAGTGTCTCTCAGCAAATTTGTACAAGCACAGAGCAGCAGATTGGTAGCTCAAGATCCTCAAAACCCAAGACTTCAAGCACCTTGGGACATCAGACAAAAAGGCTAGCTATGAGTGTGTCTTCTATTCACCACCCCTTCCATTTATTTCTCCACCTTTCCATCCCTTCACCCATCCTCCCTCCTCCCTCTCCATCCTCCCCCTTCCCCTCCATCCCTCCTCAATCCCTTCACCCATCCTCCCTCCTCCCTCTCCATCCTCCCCTTCCCCTCCATCCCTCCTCAATCCCTTCATCCATCCTCCCTCCTCCTTCCCCTCCATCCCTTCATCCATCCTCCCCCTCACTGTCCATCCCTCCCTCCATCAATGTCAATACCAGCTCTTGCACTAAGTGTATAAAAACAAGATTCTGTCTCTAGTTCAAACCTACCTGCTGCAGTGTGGCTAGATCAGACTCAGGGCAATCTTGTGTCCAAAGCATACCCGTGCTAGGGTGTCTCAGCCTACTTGTCCTGCCGGGACTACTTCTTCCACCACTGGATCTTCATCTAGACCTGCTTTAAATTTACACCAGATTGTCCCTGTGTGTTCTTCCAATTGACTTCACTAGAAGGGACACTGGGCACAAAAGGTAACATTTTTATTGCCAGCAAAGCAAGCGGGGCAAAGCACTGCCTCTTACAATAAAGAGTTCCATGAGTTCAGCTGAGTCCGCATTAAAAAGAGAATCAGGTCAATTATTTTATTGCGCTGGTGTCTCGGTCTCGTCCGAGTAAGTCCTCGATCTGGAACACTGAGGACAAGGACAGCAGATGTTCTCTGTGACCTTACCCCCTCCTCCGAGGAAAAGCTCTGTCCTAGATTTTAAACCTTCACCAAGGCAGAGTGTGTCTGGAGCAAACAGCTCTCCAAAAAAAAAAAAAAAAAAAATTCATGAAAGCAAGTCGGGAAGTTTTGCTCTTGAGGAGGAAGATATATATGATAAACACACACACACACACACACACACACACAGTGCTGTAGTCAAGTTCTAGGAACATCTAACATGCATTTTTCTCCTTTAATTGTTTTTTTAAGAGTTATTAATAAGGAAGAGGCTGGGGAGACGATTCAGCAGTTAAGAGCACTGACTGCTCTTCCAGAGGTCCTGAGTTCAATTCCCAGCAACCACATGATGGCTCACAACCATCTGTAATGGGATCTGATGCCCTCTTCTGGTGTGTCTGAAGATAGCTACAGAATGTCCTCATAAACATAAAATAAATAAATAAATTAAAAAAAAACCACTGATCCTTAGACTGCTTATGTCAAATCCAGCACATACTTCACTTATGCGTGTCTTCATTCACCCTTTCAACAGCCCCCTGAGGTAGACTATGGGCCTATCACTTTACAGAGGAGGAACTAGCTCCAGAGACACAGAGGAACTTGGCCCAGGTTGGGAAGGCCGAGATTAAAGCCTGGATATGGAGCCCAGGTAGAACAGATTCAGGGCGCCTAATCTCCACAAGATACCTGAAGTATAAAAACGGAAACTAGCAGCCACATGTGGTGGCACATGACTTTAGTCCCGGGGCTCGGGAGGCAGAGGCAGGTGGATCTCTGAGTTTGAAGCCAGCCTGGTCTACAGAGTAAGTTCCGAGACAGGTCTAGGCAGATAAATTCTGTCTTGAAAAACAAAAAATAGGGCCTGGAGAGATGGCTCAGTGGTTAAGAGCACTGTGTGCTCTTCCAGAGGTCCTGAGTTCAATTCCCAGCATCCACGTGGTAGCTCAGAACCATCTATCATGGGATACAATGGCCTCTTCTGTCCTGCTGGCATAGATCACGCATACATATAAATAAGTAAATCTTTAAAACAAAACAAAACCAAAAAGATAGACAATTCTATAAGCCCCAAAGCTTCTCAAGTAATGAGGGGAAAAAAAGCGACCCGATTCCTCTAGACCACCGGTGTTTAGCGTATTCGTTTTCTCCCAGGCTAAATTCACAGTAGAGATAATTGACAGCTCTGTAAACAAGCTGTCCGTGTTTTGAAACACTGTAGCTGCCTCTCCGGGCAGGGCAGGTACCGCGTCTTCTCCAGAGTTGGTGCCAACTGCAGATTAAATGCACACCTCGAGGCCAAGATTCCCAAAGCAAGATGATAAATACATCCCCATAGCTTTACAAAGCAAAATACTTCTTGATGTGCTGTCACAGGGTATAGGAAAACTTGAACAGGGTTTGAGAAGTGCCAAAACTAAACCCCACAGGAGTCTGGGTCTCTTGTCGCTGTGCACACTAGGAGGCAGCTCCTTGCTGCCTACGGCACTGGCCTCCGGGTCTGACAGTTCTCACTCCCTACCATGTGGCACCCCCACCCCCACCCTACCATCACCTCCTACCATGAGCAGACTCCTCTCCTGGAGACTGACGTTGGGCTGAAATTTTCCCACCACTGTGTTATAGGCACCCCCAGAACTCTAATTCATCCCCTGATAAGGCTAGGTGCTACCTGGTGTCTGTGTTCCACAACCTGCTGAAGCCCAGAGCCACCCAGGTGACACTGCCTGATACAGATCCCAGCTGGACTACTCTGGAGTCCTCAGTCCCCCTGCCCACTGTGGCCTGGGAGAGGCACTTCATATACAAGCTGCTGGAGAGGACAGCCACTATGGGAAGGGAGCCCGCCTGGCTGTGCTCACCCCAAACCAAACAGACTATGGCAATGGTATCTTATAAGGCCTGAAGCCGCTGAGGACAGCCCTGAGAGTATCAGGGGGTACCTGGAGAAAAGGGAGGTGTAGGGAGGGAACCTGCACAGAAGCCTAAGGGTGACTCAACACCACCAACCCTTCTCTGAATACTGCCCTCAGGGTCCCTTTCTGGATCATACTATGACCCCAGCCGTAACTCAGTCAAGTTACAGGAATACTCAAGTCAAGGCTCAAGAACTGTTGCTCAGTCAGGGTTTGACCAAGATTCCTGCCTTGCGGGGGGTGGGGGGGGCTTTCTCTCTCCATGCTGGAAAGCCACAAGTTCAGTGATATCCCAGAACCCATCAGCACAGGTGTGCAAGAGCCTATCCTTCACTCTCCTCCCCAGCCCTCCGCAGAGTGATACCGTTCACTTGGTATCAGCCGGAGTATCAACACTACAGTAATTGGCAAGCACCATATCTGAGGTGGATATCTCCCCAAAAGCCAGCCATGGTCAGCGTACCACACACCACCCCCTATCGACAGCAGCCTCGGTCTGGGTGTCCCTGGATGCTCATTCTCTGTTAGAGATTCTTGCTATGGATAGAGAGAGAGGGAGAAGATGGCTTAAAACCTCTGTACCTGCGTGGTGGAATGCCAGGCATGACCTTTTGACCTTAACAACTAGTTCATTTGCTCCTCACAAAGACCAGGATGCTCAAAAGGCGAGTCATCAGAGATTCAAGGCGCCGACCCTTCTCCTCTTAGATCCCAGAACTCTCCCCTTCTGGAGGGGACTCCCTGTTCTCCATCTGATTTAGTCCTGTCTCAGTCAGAGTTTCTACTGCTGTGGTGAAACACCATGACCAAAAGCAACTTGGGAAGGAAAGGGTTTATTTAGCTTACCCGGCTGCCCCGATATACAGAGAGAGAAGAAAACCTGCCTGGGGTCACATAGCCCTGGTATAGCAGGCCTGGCTGGATAGGCAAGGCAGAACCTAATACAAATCCTGAAGGAGATCTTCTAGGCCATGCCACCAAAGGCTTCTCATTGGCCTGGAACTCCCTAAGTAAGTCAAGGTTGACTGACCAGCAACACCCAGGAATCCTCCTTGTTTCTGTCTCATTAGGGATAATGGGCTTTGCCAGGCTTGTATGGATTTTAAGGGTTCACATTTAGATTTGCATGCAATAAGGGCTTCACTGACCGAGCTCTGATGGGGATTCCAGGGCATTGGGACCTTGTATGCCCAGAGAGAACTGAGAGAGGAAGATGGACTCTGGGGAGGGTGCTTCACCCAAGAGACTCATGCTGGCTAGCTATTTGACTTTGATACAAGCTAGAGTCATCTGAGAGGAGGGAACTGCATTTGAGAAAATGACTCCATAAAGTTAAGCCACAGGCAACCGTGTGCGGAGTTTTCTTAATTAGTCATTGATGGGGGAGGGGCCAGCCCACCATGCATAGAGATACATCCCCTCCCCCAAACTGCTGATCCTGGGTTCTACCAGACAGCAGGCTGAGCAAGTCATGAGGAACAAACCAATAAACAGCATTCTTCCATAGCCTCTGCATCAGTTCCTGCCTCCAGGTTCCTGCCTTGGCTTCCTTCAGTGTCTCGTGACTCGGATATGTAAGCTAAATAAACCCTTTCCTTCCCAAGTTGCTTTTGGTCTTGGTGTTTCATCACAGCAGTAGAAACTCTGACTGAGACAGGACTAAATCAGATGGAGAACAGGGAGTCCCGTCCAGAAGGAGAAAGTTCTGGAGCCTGGCTTATGGGAGCTAAGAGGACTGGAGAGACAGAAAAAGGGCAGTGCCTCAGCACCCCTCATAAAGACGCCAGGCCTTTCTCTGCCTTGGGCCTCAACAGCAGTGACTGTAGTACAGGCAGCAGGGAGGAGCTGTGGGAAGGCAGAGAAAACAGGCTGTGTCTCTAGGTCTTGCGCTGGCATTCACCAGGCCCCTCGGCATTTCTGTGGAACACTGGGCTTCCTATAATACTCTTTGAGAACCTCTGTCCCCTGCCAGCTTCTCACTCTTGCCTGCACTCCTCCATCCCTCTGTGAAGCCACAGGTACTTTCTGTTACTCCTTCCAGAGAGCTGAGGACAGCCAGGCTCTGATCCCCCTTGCTCCTGGACCCCCACATCAGATCCTGTCTGCATTCAGTACCGGTCCAGGACCTAGCTCCAGCTGCCAATTAGGACGGTGTCCTTGAACAAGCCTCTGGGGATCTCAGAGACAGGATGGAGTTGTTGTGAAGGTCGCTTGGCTGCAAAACCTTTTAAGGAAATGAAGGACCCAGAGACAGGCAGCCCTAAATTAACGTGCTTTTGCAATTTCAGCCCTTATGGTTCCTACTGTCCTCATTTGACCAGTGAGAAAACTGAGGCTCAGAGAGGTGAAGTGACTCACCAAGCACACACAGCAAAAAGCTGGTTCGTGGCATCTTCCTCTCCCCACTTATACCCAGGGCCAAGCTCCCAGGAGATGCTCACGGCTTAGATTTCATATCCTGAAAGCCCGATGCCACTCATACATTTTACAGATAAGGAAACCAAGTGTGAAGGCACAAAGCCACCCACCTAAGGACATTCACTTGGAGGCTGGCATCTAGCCCCAAGCCTCTCTGTTCTCAACCCATGATGCCATCTCTCCAGTACCTACCCTAAGCTCTGAGGCTGGGTCAGTCTGTCCCAGCCTTCAATCCTCCCTGCAGCCTTTACCGAGGCTCCTCACCTTAGTGTACCATGAGGTTGCAATCCCCAGGTCCCCAGCTGCCCCAGCTTCTCCCGAGCTCAGCTCCTCCTCAGAGAGGCGAGAGGACAGACACTCTCCTTGCCTTCCTGGTGGTTGGCACAGCCTCTGCTCCCCGCCTGCTGCCTGGCTGATGGAGAGATTAATCCTAAGCCCTTCCCGGCAGCACCCCCACCCCCCATCTTAGGCAGGACCATGCTGACTGTCCCCATGGGACTTGGAGCACCAAGTCCAGTGCTGAGGCAGGACAGCTGGCCCAGCTCCCTGCAGCATCCGGACCTTCGGCTTCCAGGAGGAGGGAGGACTTCAGAGCCCTTCTAGAGAGCCACCTTGCGCCTCTGCTCCTCTGCAGATTCAGACTGAATAAACTTCTGCTCTGTACAGGAGGCCGGAGAAGGACTGGACACTGACCCTCGGCCAGGGCTGCTATGTTGGGAGCTGGTTTTGATTTGTGTTTTGTTTCGGTTTTGGTTTGGGTGGTTTTCTTTTCATGTCCCCCTACCTCTCTGTCACAAACCTGTCTCTTTCCTGGTCACTGAGACATGGGCTCCCCATGTCCGGCAGAGAACCAGCTGGGAACACACTTCCTAAAACAAGCGGTGAGTTGAACTTGGGAAGAAGTTGTTCATTCTGGGGTGGGATGTTCCAGAGCAGTGACTGAGTGAAACAGCTTGGGAGAAGGGATATTTGGAGTGAATTACTTTCCCGGGCTCGAGAGGAATTTTGCTGGCCAGCTGTCAGGGGGGACAAAGACCTCAAAATCAGATCAAAATCAGTGGAAGGAAAGGAGGCAAGATTCCGGCTTTGGAGAGAACCCCTAGCCAGGAAGCTGTGTCCTGGGTTGAATCTGGATTTGCTGAGTGACCTTGGATGAGTCCCTTCAGCACTCTGGGTCTTGGTTTTTGCACTGGAAATTGAGAAAGCTTGAAAAAAAAAAAAAAAAAAAAACCTCCCTGGATTCCCTGTCTCTGCAGGCTGTACTCCTCCTGCCGCTGGCTGTGTGCTGTGAACCAAGTAACGCATGCAGAATAGCAAGGGGAGAGCTCTGCGGCGCGAGTGTGAAACACAGCGGCCCCCACTCACTCCTCACTGTCCGCCAGAATCCAGCTGGCTCTGGAAAGGAAAGGCACTTTTATTTCCATTGGCTCCTGATTGGAAAGCCTCTCTCAATGTAAGGTTATAGGTGCCTGGAGACAGCTCCGGCTGGAACAGGTAGCATAAGAAATGGTCACACCACACAGATGATGAGACATATCGTAAATATTTTTTTAAAATTATGTGAGCAGCTAAAATAAAAATATGCTTGTCCTAAGCGAAGCCCCTAAATAGGTCTGCAATACAGAGAGCATTAGAAACCTCTTTGCGCTGCAAATAAAAGAGTATATGGTGCAGGGAGGGGAGGGACCACTTCAAGGTCACACAGCAAGGGTGACAGAGGACCAGGGTGAAACCTTCTTGGGGAGCTTCTTGGGGTGCCTTGCAAAGCTGCCATGATCCCTAGCTCCCGAACATTTGACAGTAGGGGACACTAGGTGTCAGTTCCCTCACCTGCGAAGGTGAACCGTGCCTGTCTGCCTCGTGGGATGGTTGGCCTGGGTCTCTTAAAGGAACTGGGTGCCTTAGAGCTTTCTAGAAGTGACTGTTATGGTGGTGTTCCCCATCCTGTGCTCAACTGTAGGGGAGCCCAAACTTCTCCACTCACACAGACCAAGCAGAGGGTCCAGAGAAACTGAGACAGTCCTCTCATGTTTCTCTGCAAAGAACAAGGCCACATAGGGCACCCCTGCAGGATTGATACAAGCCTTGTCCTTTGAGAGGAGAGAGGGGAAGCCTCTTGCCCAAGACTACAGAGTGTCCGATAGCACGGCACAGGGCCCGTTACCCACATCTCCATCCACAAAGTGTCCACGTCAGAGAGATGTACACACAGAACTTCCTTAGTGTAGTGAGAAGCACATCTGTATGGATGGATGTGTCCACTGATATAGCCCAAGCATATAGTAGCTACCCAGTGAACAAGACGTAAATGGAAGGAAGGTTCAGGGATGGCTGGAGCAACTGCAGCTACTATGGGGCAGTGTTTATACTGCCAGATCTGCTGAGACTCATCCTCCCTTCCTTCTCTTCTTCTTCCTCTGGAGACAGACAGGTGAACCCACTGCTCCCTGGCCTGACAGTCTGAGGCAATGCCCATGTCTTCCAGAGACAGGGACCTGCATCCTGGACTCCATCACTTTGGCTCCTGCAGCCCCTTGAGTCAGCTCTGGCCTGGTCCCGAGCCTCAGTCAGTCAAGGGCCTTTACTACCGCAGGGCCCGGAAGGTGGGCCACCTGGACGCCTCTCCAGAGGCCAACCTGAAGGAGATCCTGGTGAACGTGGGTGGCCAGCGGTACCTGCTGCCCTGGAGCACCCTGGATGCCTTCCCGCTGAGCCGCCTGAGCAGGCTCCGGCTGTGCCGGAGCTATGAGGAGATCACGCAGCTCTGTGACGACTACGATGAGAACAGCCAGGAGTTCTTCTTTGACAGGAATCCCAGAGCCTTCGGGGTGATCGTGAGCTTCCTGGCTGCGGGAAAGCTGGTGCTTCTGCGAGAGATGTGCGCCTTGTCCTTCCGGGAGGAGCTGAGCTACTGGGGCATCGAGGAAGCCAACCTGGAGCGCTGTTGCCTGCGTAAGCTGCTTCAAAAGCTGGAGGAGGCGGCCGAGATGCGCCGGGAGGAGGCTGCCCAGCGCCAGCAACAGCGCCAGGCCTGCCACTCGGAAGTGCACGCCTCACGATGGGCTCGCAGCATGAACCAGCTGCGTGAGATGGTGGAGGACCCACAGTCAGGGCTGCCCGGGAAGGTCTTCGCCTGCCTCTCCGTTCTCTTCGTGGCAACCACGGCTGTTAGCCTGTGTGTGAGCACCATGCCCGACTTCAGGGCTGAGGAGGACAAGGTGAGTTGGTGCTAATCAGGGACCAGGAGGCAGCCCAGATACACTTAGGAAACCAAAGCTGAAGAGGTTGGCATGTGAGATCTCGCTCCAGGAAACAAGCTCCTCCTAGGACTGGCATTAGATTTAAGCCTTTTCCTTCCCTAGTGTTACTGGCTGGGTTCGTTGACTGCCTGGGCCCTGGTAGCCCTATAGTGACCTTGCCCCAGAGAAAACATTCTGCCTCTGCACTCCTACTGCCGTGGACCCCCAGGAACCGGAGGGTCTGTGTCCTAATTTGCTTTCTGTTGCTTTGAGAAACTTCCCGGTAAAAAACCGAGTTTGAGTGGAAAGGGTTTATTTGGCTCACACTTCCAGATCACAGGCCCAGGGGGGCGGGGAGGGGGAAGGGTCAGGGGAGGAACTGAAGCAGGAACCAGAAACAGAGGAAGGAAGCCACAGAGAAGGGGGAAGGCTCCTTATTGGCTGGCTACTGCTCAGCCAGCTTTCTCACACAGTCAGGGGTTCACTGTCTACGGATGGTGCCGCCCACAGTGGACTGGGAACCTCCTACATAAATTAGCAATCAAGAAAGCGCCTCGTGGTCATGGCAGTCGGGCCATCTAATCAAGGCAGTTCCTCAGTTGAGACTCTCTTAGAGTCTCTGGGCTTTGTCAAGTTGACAGCTGAAGCTAACTGGAAGAGTCTCAAAACCCGAAAGAGGAGCCATTTGTTAGGAAGGTGGGTGAAGGGTTTGACACTAGAACTAGCCAGTTGCCTAAGGTAGAACTTCTCTCCAACTCTGCACTCTCCCACAGCTCCCTATTGCCTGACCCTCCATCACTTAGGTTATAACGAACAAGGGAGGTAGATTTAAGACACTCGCACGCACACGCACGGACACGCACGCACACACACACACCACGCACACACACGCACATTGCTGCCTCCTTACAGAGTTGCCCTACACAATACAGTAGGACCAGAGAACATTCCAGTTAGAGAGCCAGCATGTGCCTCAAACACAGTAAGTTCTTCACCAATAGTTGCTGAACAAAATATGTTTCATGGGATGGACCAATGTTTTCTTCAAAAGAAAAAGATACAATAGCACTCATTCCTTAGTCTTTCAAACAGCTGCTCCCCCCCCCCACCCACACACACGGGAGGTGCAATCAGGGGCCCCCACCCCACCCCCTTTAGTCTTTAGTACAAAATCTGCAATGGAAAAGCTTGTTTGCCCACAGGAATATCTACATGTGGGTTTATTTTATTTTTAGTTTTAGTTTTTAGCTTTTGCTTCTGAGGATTAGGGCAGAGTAAGCAGTGTCCTTACCTCAATCAAGGGCAGCAGGTCCCCGTTGCTGAAGAATCAAACCTGGTCTCCACACAGGTGGTTTTCTTCTTCAGGGAGAGAAGAGTGTGGGGGAAGCCAGGAGCTTTCCTGTGCAGAGGGGTCAGGGCTTTGTGAGGGCCCAAGGCTTTGAAGATTAAGAAGAACGCAATCCCAGGCTAAGAGCACAAACCCAGGCTGGGCTTAACAGCACTGGGAAAATCAAATCAGAGGCAGGTCACCAGTTTGCAGGCCTGGACAGCCCAAAGCTGTCCCTGAGAAACTGGCAGCTGTGTTTCATGGGGTAAGAGGGATTCATGTCCAGAGACAGCCACAGTATCCTTGTGTTTCTTCTCCAGAGCCACCTTTGTACCTGCAGCCCCATCCCAAGAGTCCCAGCCTCCAGAGGGTCTATGCTTCTGTTGGGAATTCAGAGAGCCAGGGAGGCTGAGGACCGGCAACCTTAGGTTCTTAGTTCTTTCAAGCAGGTGCCCCTGACATTTACATAAAAAGCCAGTGTTCTTTCTAGTATATGCTTTGTATTTCTCATTTGTCCTCAGGGGACAGCAGCAAGGCAGAGAGTGGCTCTATTAAGCCAGCCTGCTGTCCTGAGGAGAGCCATAGGGCATGGTAATTTAATGACACCCCGAGGGACCCTGGGGATGTGACCTTCGTAACCCAGACTCCTTTGCTTTGTCACAGCTGGCATCTGGCTTTTCCATGTTTGCTTATTCATTTGTAGGTTGGCTGGTGACCTTTGTGGCTTCTCCACCTTTTGTCTGGGGGCTGTGTCCATTCCTGAATAGGTTGTGTTTTGCTGTGTGTTTTCATTCCTCTTGGGTGCGTACGTAAGTGTGACCTTGACGAATCTTAAGTGTGAGTTTTGCCCTTGGAGGAGCTGCCAAGCTGTCCCCTAAGTTCACGTTCCCTGCAACCCAGCCCAGAAGGTTTTGTGTGTGTGTGTGTGTGTGTGTGTGTATGTATGCATGTGTGTGCATGTTTCTGTGTGTGTCTGTGTGTGGGTGTGTCTGTGCATGTGTATGCATGTGTCTGTGTGTGTGCATGTGTGTGTATGTGTGCATATATGTGTGTTCACGTGTGTGTATATATGTGTATGTGTGTCTGTGTGTGTGTAGGTCAGAGGATGGCTTTCAGGAGCTGTTTCCCCCTTCACTGTGTGGGTTCCACCAGGTTGTCAAGCTTGGCTTGGTGGCAAGAGCTTTAATCTACTGAGCTATGCCACCAACCCTCCTCCTCCTCCTTCTTCCTCTTCTAATTGTTCGGTTTTCAGGTATACCCATAGAAATTTCTTTTTGTTTTGTTTTGTGTGTGTGTGTGTGTGTGAATTTAAATTTATTTCTTTCTATATTTTTAGGAGAAATTTCTTTAAAAAAAAAAAAAAGGCACTCCTACCACCCTACCTCCGGCCAATCTAGGCTATTTCTCTCACCCCAAAAGTTCCTTTGGAGCCCTTCCCAGTCTACCCAGGGTGGCCGGAGCAGCTGTTTGGGAGTGGGAATCCTGGAGGTGGCCCTCACCTAGTTCCCAGTGTCTGTGGCCTCTGGCCCCACGTGCCTGTGTGATCTTCCATTTCTACTGCAGCCTCCTTGGGCCTGGCTCACCTCAACTGCAGGAAGGGGCAGTGCTTTCTCACACTACCAGCGACAAGGCACACAACAAGGCAGCTAACTCCGACTTCAGCTGTGGGGGGGATCCCCAAACAAGATTTTCCTGTGCCCAAATCCAGAGTGAAGAGAACATCGTGGACCCAACTGCCCCAGGCCCTATGGCCAAAGTCTTCCTTAGAGAGAGAGAAGTGCTTTGGTGTGTTTATTTTGTCTTTCTCTCCCCAACCCCTTTCCTTCACATGAGGATGGATTGATTGGTCATCATATCTTCTACCAGAGGCCCCCCACTCTGTCCCCTGTTTCCCTGCGTGGCTGCAGAGATGCCAGAGCTCTTAAAGGCAGGCATCAGGCTGGTTAAGATGCAGGGCAGAGCAGGATGCAGATTGAGAGACTAGGCAGAGCCAGCCTGCTGCAGTGCAGGGAGGCCGGCAGTCCAGACCAGGAGAGGGAGGACAGAGTGTACATGCCTTGAATAGCCAAACGCCAGCACCAGAGGCAGAAGCATGGCCTGCTGGGCCTGCTGGCCCTCCAGAGTCACCTTCCAGAGCTGCTGGTCATTGGGCAGTATTCCCCAAGGCTCCCAGATCTCAGCAAAGAACAAAAGCAGCCCAGACTCTAGGACTTCTGAGGGCTCTAAAGTCAGGGGGAGAGACCCCCAAGTTCCCATGTCTGAGCTTGGCCCCAAGGCTTTGGGTTCGTGATGGACCCAAGAATCTGTCTTTGTAGCTGGCACCCTGGGGGGATTCTGGTTGTGCTCCACCCTATTCATCAAATACTGGAGCCCAGAGACAGCTAAGGACCACTTCCAGGCTGCACAGCATTTTCATAGAAAGCCTGGAGAACCCAGAACCAAAGCACTGATGCCATCCAGGATTCTGATGGCAAACCTCCAGGGAAGCCCTCTCTGTAGGTTGAAAATGTGTCTACGTCCTGAAGAATGGTAGCCTCCTGCTGACCAAGTGGGCCAGCCTCTGTGACAGCATGTCACATGCGTATCTGCTGGACTCAGCATCCTCAGAACTGCTGTATACATGATTCCATCCATACAGCAGCCCTTTAGGGTGATGATGGCTGGAAGTCCAGGGAGGACCAAGTTCCTGGGTTGAGACTGTTGATTGAGATGTGACCCTAAGCCACACACTCAGGGCTTCATCTGCTCCAACCCCGGAAAGGACCAGACAGAAGCCAGGGTGCCCAGTCCTAGGTAGGCTAACTGTGCTTGGGTAGGTGTGGCCATTGTCTGTCTTTCTTTCTTTCTTTCTTTCTTTCTTTCTTTCTTTCTTTCTTTCTTTCTTTCTTATGAACAGACATAAAAACATTTCAATTTAGGACTCCCCTGGGCTTGGATACTGGAAAGCAATTTCTTTTTCCACTTCAGAACATTTGAATCCAAAACCCCCATAGTTGGCTACATTTTCCTTTGCTCATAGGCACATAGCTCTGTCATATTCTTGCTCATTTCCCAGAGTGTGCATGTGTGTGCAGGTGTGTGTGTGGGACAGTGTGTATACATGTGTATGTGCGAGTTCATGTACATGTATGTATGCGTGTGTGCTTGTGTGAGTTTGTGTGCCCACATATGTGTGCATGTATGTGTGAGAGT